ACTTTTAAACCCCATAGTCTATGGACATCATCAAGGACTTTGAGAAAGTCACCAGGGCATTTTACCAAAGATACAACTACTTCTCTGAACATCAGATTGCAGTGGAATTAGAGAAAGTCAAAGATGACTAAGTCTGAATTCCAACCTGTGCTGGAGAAAGTACACATGTGGAAATAAAGAATTTCAGCACCAGTACAGAATTGAAAAATTGCTGAGAAGTCAGCAGCATGCTGATTAGTGGTTTACTTATGGATAGAGACAGAAAATCAATTCAGTACCACTGGAGGAACATGAATGAAGGAATGACTGAAATGTTTGTTCTCCTACAGTTGACTGTTTAATTGATACTATGGCTGCTGTCCTGAATATGTGCTAACTCGCAGCTTGGTATGGAGCTGTATCAGTTTAGAAATTCTCTCAATAGCCTGTCGACCTCCACTATTAATATCCAAGCTGCCATGTATGTCTGCTTCCTATATTCCAACATTACCTTTCTGACAAATTATAGAAAAGGTGGAGACTTTTTCAAATTCTAGAAAGGGTCACTTTTACTTCATTATTTGTACCAAAGTCCTCCTTGGGAGCCTCTGGTAGGAAAGAAGATTTGGTGGGGAAGTAAGAAACACCTCTAAGGACAGGTTACAGCTCTGCTATAAAACTTGGATCTCAGGACTTAGGAATTGAGCTGGGGAGGCCTAAGGACCAGTCTGTCAACCACTGCACATAGCTCTGGGACATTTTATGAGCAAGCATCTGATTCACTCAATCAGAAGTCTGCCTGAGTGTCCTCTATCTTATACACATGGACCTCAGTGAGAATGACAACTGTTTGTCCATGGCAGGAAATGCCTTGAACTTTCCAAACATAACAAAGTCACATGTTATCATGAAGCTTCTAACATTATTCTAACTTTATGTCTATCAATAATATGCTAGTGAATATCTTAGTATATAAATAATTGTTCAAATCTTTTTGAAAATCTAAAATGCAATTGCCAGTTATAGTTCATTCTTATTCTGGGCTCTGGTCTAGAAACTACTTGGTTCCCCTTGGGCCCAATTTTAAAGCATGAAATAGATACTTAGTAATATGGATAATGGGACAAAATGCTTAAGAATCATGCCTATTTTCATTTGAAATCAAGACGATAATCCTGCACTACAGATAGAACACTTCTGAGACCTGATTACTCCCAAGCAAAGGTTGCCCTCCTGGGTTGCTGGCCTTGAAGGAAGCCATTTTCTCCTTCGTTACGTTGATTGATATAAAGTTCCTTCTTTATTCTTTAGGACCATAACATTTTGAAAACAAATATGTGAGCCTTTGGTAAAGAGCACTACTAAATGACAGGCAGTAAATAAGTGAGGAACTCCCCTCCCCCTTCCAATTTCCCAATTAGGTGAACATCTCCCATCCCTGGCAAAGTTGTTGCCTTGGCGGAAGAAGCTGTGGAAGGCATCTCTATCCACAGGGAAGAGTTTGCATGTGGACTCTTCATCTCTCCCCTCTTCTTTGATAATATTCAATTGTGATGTGTTTTCAGGGAGATTTTAAAAGGCATGGCTTCAAGTCTGACTTTTGATGTTCTTCATGACTTTTCTAGTTTACTGGCTTGTGAAGTCTGGAGAGATAAAACTTGAATCACTGCTTGAAGCTTCAGCAAAGACACAGTCAGATGGCCTGGCTTAGCTGCCACTGTGGACCCAGGCAGAAGATGGTGTGGCGGGAAAGACTATGCTCCCAGAAGGACAGCATATGGGGAGGCAGGGGAGGGATGGGGATAGAGAGCTACCCTCAGAGGTATGCTCATCTGCTCTCCAGATTTAGTTGCCCTGGGAGCATGATTGGTTCTGACTAATGGCTAACTGAATCGATAGCCACAGTGAACTCTGTGCTATTCAAGAAGAGTAAGCTGGTGGAATGGAAAGAGAATTCCTAGCAGAGATGGTGGTCTGTTTACACAGTGCTTACTCCGAGCCAGTGCTGTTCAAAGCACTTCCAAGTGTTAATTCATTTAACTCTCTTATCAGTTCCACAACCTAGGGATTAAAATGATTTTTTCTTCACAGCCAAGGAAACTAGAGCCCAAAGAGGTCATGTAACCTCCTCAAGGTCATTTGGCTAGTACATGATAGAGCCAGGTTTGAAATCTAGGCATTATGATTGTAGCAGCTGGGCTGTTAACCATACCACTCTCTCACCTAAATGTGATGGTGCTCCTATCAGAGACAAAACAGCACTCCACCAAGAAGAGGCTTCAGTAGCCACGAAAAAAAAAAAAATCAGTAAATGCTTTAATGATCCTTGGGCTTGGATAAGACATGAAGAGATAAATGACACAAGCCCTGGGAATGACTGTGATTCCTGAGCAGCGATAGCAAATGCCTCTCTCAGTCTCACACAGCCCAAGAACCCTTGATATTCTGTTGATGAATATGTGGCACAAGGATGGTTAAGTACCATTCATGAGGCACTTAGCATTTCTCTTTAAAATTAGAGTTCAGAATTATTGTAGAGATTAAGTATGAAGCAGTATCTGCTTCAGGAAGATTTTGGGGGCATGTTGCAAATTATATACTGTAAATACAACATGGCATTGGTGAATAGCTACTTTGGCCACAAAGCATGGGGCAACCTGCATTTCGCACTCCTTAAATTGAAAAGAAATAAATATGTGTAAAAAGGAGCCAGGAAACACCATAAACTCTAGGATACAGTTCCACTTTTCAGGGTGATGTAAAATGCTCCTTATCACTTTGATAGTGGTTAGAATTACTCTTTTGAGGTTAGTTTGATGCCACTTGGTAGGAAAAAAAAAAAACACGTTAATTATATAAGCTCTTGCACCTGTTGTTTTCCAACTCTACATATGCATGGCTTTTATTTGCAACTGAAAAAGTGTTTGTGGTTTCTTTATATATAGTAAGTACACACGTGCACACAAACACACGTTCCCTTATACATTTAGAAGTAAAGCAGTCACACTTCAAATAAAACTGAGATTTTAAACATGCTAAACACTTTCACTGTGGCAATATATTTCTTATTTTTATTCCAGTCCTTTCGGTATTCTGCCCCAATAAACAATCTGAAAGACTGGAATAGCTGCAAAAGCTCTCTGTGAACATTTTCCCCAAGTACAAATTATTGGAAGACTGTTTATATAATTCATGAAAATCTTTAGTCTTGTGTCCTTTTAATCTTGGTGAATCCATCGTACTGACAGAATTCTGCTCTGAGTCTATGCTTAAAGATTGGATTTATTTCTACAGCTCATCATGAAGAAAAAGAGAAATGAAATTGTACTTTCAGATGTATGTAATTTGACTTCCACACATTCACTGAGGTGTAGTTCATCCATAGTTTTTGCTCTTGAATTTGTCAAGACTGACGCCAAGTGGAGCAATTCTCTCCATGTTGCTCTGGTGGGGTTTTTTTTTGTGTGTGTGTATGTGTGTTTTAAAAATAACATTAACTTTAGCATATAAAGCTTTCTTCATTCTCAATAATTTTGAGTCTTGAGTATTGTTTAACTCTCAACCCTCTCCTACCCCACATGTGCTGGAAACTACCACAGTTTATAAAAATTTTAGGACTACAACATGGGTGCAATTATTCAGTTTTTTTTTTTTCTCTTTCTCTCTCAGTGCTCCTGTAGTCTGGTGTTTCTATTCCCAATATTTCAGCATGAAAAATGTACACGGTTTTCTATATATTCTCTTCTGTTCCACAGCTTGCAGGCTGCTGAATGAGTTCCGGGGTAGTGTTGCAGGAAGAAAAACAACCAAGGAATTGAGAATCTGCAAAAATGGCCCACTGGAAACAGCCTGCGGGCTCTGTCACCTGTTGTGTAGATGCACAGAACTTAGAGTCGGAGGAACTTCAGAAGTTGAATTGATCTACTTCTCCCCACATGCACTGCTGCTACCCTAGAGGAAGGCACTAGTATTCCTGGACCCAAGGGGCTGTTTTAATGGCTTCCTGCCTGAGCCTTGCACTTCCACGCTTGCTCTCCTCCTCAAGCCCATTTTCAATTTCCACAAGTAGCTGAACTCATCTTTAAATAATATAGGGGCCAGGCCTGGTGGCTCACGCCTTTAACCCAGCACTTTGGGAGGCTGAGGTGAGAGGATTGCTTGAGCCCAGGAGTTTGAGACCAGCCTGGCTAAATTAGCGAGACCTTGTCTCTATAAAAAAATAAAAAAAAGTAGCCAGGCATGGTGGCATGCACTTGTAGCTATCTAGGATGCTGAAGCAAAAGGATCGCCTGAGACCAGAAGGCTGTGGTGAGCTGTGGTCATGCTACTGTGCTCCAGCCTGGGTGATAGAATGAGACTCTGAATCAAAAAATAATAAATAAATAAATAAGATTTCAGTTTGTTGCTTAAAACTTCCCAATAGTTCCTATATGGACTTAGATTACAACCAAGACTTCTAACCAATGGCATCTAAAGCCTTTACTGTCTGGTTCTCTCCTACGTCTATGTTTGGTCACATGCTACTCTCCCTTTCTCACTATACCGCAGCAACACTGGGCTTCTGGATATTTCTTGAATGCTGAGCTACTTCCCACCTTAAGGCTTCTGCCTAGACTGATTTTTCCCCAGATCGTCTGCATGTCTGGTTTCATTCTCCCGAACAGTCCTCCATCAAAGTTACTTCCTTAGAGAAGCATTCTCTGACCAACTGGTACAAAGAACCTCACCTTTCACAGCAACACTACCACATTACTTGGTTTTATTTTCTTTCCAATTTACAAGTGAATGAAGAGCTTTCATGGGCATTGAGGAGTTGGGGAGGGATTAGCTGCAGTTGTGCATTCTCCTTGAGCTAAAGGTCAGTAACATTTGGTTAGTCAGTGTTAAGGATATCTTGTTTGTACCCATAGCCTACACAGTATGACCACAACAGTCCTCTGATCACTTGTCCAGTATCCCTACCACTAGGACAAATAAATAACAAGACCCCTTATTCAAATACAGGCAGATTAGTCACTTACTTATAGTGGATCCGGACTCAGGCCTGTTCAGGGAGCTGATGATGACAAAACCGAAGCCTTCATTCTCTTTGCGGTGAATGATCACATCACTGGTCTGCAGGCTGTGGGAGGCAAATCCTTCAGGTGGGGAGGCACTGCTACTAGGGGCAGCATGGTTGCTGTTGGTGTAGGTTGCGTAGTCACTGCGTGGAGAGCTATGGTGGGTGGATACAGAGCCTGGACTCCTCCCATTCTCTGGGCAGGGCTCTCCTGAAATACACACCATGCACAGGCACTCAATTATTTGACAAGGGTCTTAATTAATAACTCCTCCTGCCTACTAGGCACTGTTCTAGATACTGGCATTATTACAAGACTAGTTGACTGGCTTCTCTTTCCCCCAGATAGGCAGAACATTTGAAAAGCTACCAAACTGGGTGTAAAGGCTCCAAGGTCTTGGCTTATTTCTAGCCTTCATAGCAAACACAGGTTAAACCCTTCAACAGCCTCCTCTGTGCTGTCACTTATTTATATCTTCCTCTTGTTAAGACTGCAAACCCCTGGGAAAATGTCTAGTTTTAGATATTGAGCTCCTTTATTGCATAATAATAATAATTTACTGAAAAAGATCACAAAATAAGTAGGTGGAAACCTAAATTGTAGGGTACCTAAGAGTCACTTAAAGAACTTGTAAAACATACATCTTCAGGACCTATCCAGAGAAGGTATTTTCAGTAAGTCTAGGCAGGACTGGGCACAGGACTCTTTATCAAATTTCAAGGCCATCCTTTGAGAAATGCTGTTGTAGAGGTATTGTAAGGAGAGCTAACAGCTCAAGAGTTGTCAACGTAAAATAATTTTTCTAAAGAGCTATAGTTAGTTAGTTCTATTTTGTGATATTCTGCTAGCCTACAATTCTTAATTCACTTCATGTATGAGGAAAATATACTTCTTTAAAGTAGTTTGCATGCAGCGTTTTGTATGTCAACCATATCTCAAAAAAGTGGTTTAAAAGAATACAAAAATAAATTGTGATTTTTCATTTAAAAAGTAGTTTGTTCACTCTAGGATCAAATCTAATAATGTTGTCAAGCTAAGGAATTATGGATTTTGAATCTCTAAGGAGCCATTGAAGATCTTATTTATTTACAGTCTGTATTATTACAAAATATACTCTATTATCAACCAAATAAACCAAACCGATACTTTCATAAGAAAGCAAACATATTTACATGGAGAAATGATAGAAAGTTGGCAGCCAAAGAAGCTAGTTTTTGAAATGAAAGTTGGCCTGTCATCCAGAAAAAAATTTGTCATTCTAATTTAATACTCTGATGAAAAGAACTGAAGTGGGCACTAGAATACTGTAACTAGAAATAGGACTCTTTCATTTCCATCTTACAATTTGATTAGTGGAGTCAAAAGATGTTTATGGAACAGAGGAATAATAAGATGAAAAATAATCACCATTAATTATTTCTTTTTGGGTCTCTAGATACGATCTCCTAGTTAGAACTCTAGAAGGTGTCTCATATGACAAGTTTAAAACAATTAGCGAATGTTCCAATAAAGGCTGTTAACTTTATAAGCTGCAATTCCATTTTGAAATGAAAAAGTTGGGGAGAGAAAGAACAGAGACTCTAAGAGATGTTTTGTTACAGTGATACCCAAAGAGGGAGCTGCATTTATTTATACACTCAGATTTTAAAAAATGGCCTCACAAAAATGTATTCATTTCTGATTTGTACTTACAGAATGAATGAGACGCAGGCTGTTGTTTGCTATTAATTGGTAAATTAGATTTTTCTTTAAGATCTAATTAATCAGATTTTAATGAAAGAAAAAAATGGATGTTTTTCATCTGTAAGAAATGTACCGAGGTCATAAAATAACAGAATGTCAATGTCAAAGCTTTTTCCTGTTTTCAACCAGAATTTAAAACTTATGACTGTAAAATGTACCCTCCCCGATGAAAAACATTATCCAAAAACAGGTTATTATTGTCTTGGTGAAGCATATGTCCTTTATCACTCCTTGTACAAGTTGGAAATAAAATGATTAGGGATAGTCAAGAAGAAGAAAAACAAACAATTATTATGCAGCTACATTAAATTGAAACTCTCCTTGAGTTATTGGACCAAATCAGTAACTAAATGTCATAGGCAGTGACAAGAGAGATCTCATTTTCTGGCTGTCATATTTTAGGGGGTTGAGAGCTGTGATTGTCAGTAAATTGGCAACAAAAAAGAATTATCTGTCTTTGCAGTAAATGGCTGGGAGTGGCTATGCCACAGTTTCTAGAAAGAGAAAGAAAATCATTGACTAAGTCAATGTAAGTGCTCTGTGGGGTAAGTGAAAGGATACTTCTCTATTGCTTTTGGTCTTCTCTTTCAACCACCAGACCAAAGTTCTTTATCTTTAGCAAAATGAGCACATCTAAAATCAGGAAGTTAAGAGCACTTGCCCGTTCTTCCTGGGCATGTTCTAGGTACCTGACACTTGAAAACTGGTAGTATGATTGCCTTTGAGGGATTGACCCCATATCATTTTTTCTACTCATCTGGCTCTGGATCCAAATGAGACTGTTCTCTTTCCAAAAACCCAGCCTGGTATAGGACATCAACAGAGGTGTTTTAGAATAATATAGTAAAATCTCATAAAGTGACTAAATATCATGTATAATTCTTAAAGAATTTCCAAATTTCCAAAATGCCTGACTCATTCGTCTGACTTATACACAAATGGATTCATAGAATTCAGTCAGTATCTACTCAAGTCAAATAATTAATTTTTAGGTTAAGTTTCCATTTTGTCTCCATCAGTCATACTGGAAACCATCTCTGTGTTGACTGGGAGAGGGTCTCCCACTGGGAAGGTGGGAGTCATTGATGCCTGCCAGGGGAGATGGCTAAGACCGGAACAGTTACTGGCTAGGGGCTGCTCCTGGTCTGCACAATGCTGGCCTGTACTTGATTTAATAATTGTTAAAACCAACCGCCAATGTTTGTAAATAGGAAGATTTTACAGAGATGTGGATTTCCAGTTGCTCTTGAAATACCTGGCACTTGCCAGCAGGAGCTGGGTAATGGCTGCTCCCTTGACTGGGTATGAGGTTTGCAGGTTCTCACAACTTGGCCCACTCCCGAGTGCCTCTTGCAAATACCTCATTTACTCATTTATTCACTCATATATTCATAGAGTGAGGAATTCACAGGACTAAAAGAACTTCTTCAACTGGAGCCTCCATTTCTCTTCTAGACCACACTAGGTACCAGGACTCTGAGATTATGTAACCACATAGCTCTTGCCTGCTTCCAGGGTGTGCCTGGGCCTCTTAGGCACTGAGAACTGTCCCAAGATGGATGATAGCACTGCATATGGGCATATTTTGCTTTGAAGCATGTCTGAGGCAATGGAGCATGTGCATTGACATATGGGCCGGGCTGTCCACACGCATGTCCACCAGGTCCCTCACAGTACCTCGGGGCAGGTGGCAGCCCACAGGCTGTGGCCCTACCAATGTTAAGGGCTGGCCTGCCTGCAGGCGTTTGTGTAGCACTTCTGGCTTACACCCCTCAAGGCAGCCAACTTATTTAAATGGGTGACAGGCTTGCAGACAAAGAACAAAGGAATGCATTTAGAATTGGCAACATGTGTGGTAACCAGGATCCAGGAATGCACTGGCACCCTAAACACTGGCTAAACTTTTCACCCAGCTGCCAAGCAAACCTTCCCGTTCTCAGCATTAAGCCAAGAGTTAGACATTCCCTTAGGTGTTAGAGAAAAGATGCTGATAGCTTTAAGACCGACTCTAACATGTTTTGATTAAGTTATAAAACTCTCTTTCACCTCAATTCTAGATTTACACTTTAGGAAATTCCCCAGAGACACCCTCTGCTCGAATGAATGGTGTACATTCAAAATAATGTGTCATTAGGCTGAATGGCTCAAAGCGGATCTACTAAACACACAAATATTTATGCTTTTTCAGTATAATAATGAAACCACTCCTCTAATATTCTTAGGAAGAAACAACTAAATATGGGAGCGGGTGGTATGGATAAGACATCGTCTCTTAAAACTAGTGCAAGGTTTTAAGCTACAATTATCTGGTAAATAAAGTCGGAGGCACTACTAGATAGTTTCTTCCCTTACTCAATGAATACTCACTTTCGAGAATCTATCTTGCCATTGCCTAATTAAAAATTTTGCTTTTCTATTTTTAGTATGTACACTTTAAAATAATTTAATATTTAGGGAAAGTCTTTGTGTTATCTGAGTTTTTGCTCAGTGTAACGAACCTTTCTGTGTCTCTCATAATGAACGTGTTCTTTTTCCTGAGCATCAACTAGGAAGTCAGTGCTCTCTGTCTTCTGAGGTGGGGTAGGGCATTTGTACAAGCTGAGGTTGAAGGGTGTAATCCCTATGACCTTGCTTCTTCCTAGACCTCTCCCAGAGTATTGCCCCTTTGTACAAGAAGGTGGCAATGTTGCCCCTCTTCCTACCTGTCTGTCTTTCCCCAAGCTGATTGCTCACTTCCATTCAGCTTTGAACCATCTCTTTCTGAACCAGGCTTGAGCCTCCCACTGCCTTTGCTTAGAAAACCACAGCAACAATGATACTATAATAACAATGATAAGAACAGCCCTTGACAAGACATCTCCATTGCCATGTCCATTTCTAGTTATTTCTTCTCACTTTGGAGAGATGATAGCTATGAAGTAAGGTCGCCTTCTCAACCTTTTTTAAAAAAAATCTCTTCCATCTTGTTTAAAGGCATTTACTTTGCTGTCAAAGTATCCTTTGCTGAACTGAATCATTTTCAATACTGATGAAGCTTTCAAGGAAGAGTGAGCTGAATTAACTTGGAAACTTTCCTGGTGTGAATAAGCAATCTGCAGCAGAACATTTTCAAAAATTAAATGCACTTGAAATGCACTCAAAAGTCTAACTGAGTAAAGTTGGTAAGAACTGCAGCAAAGAGCATCTTTACAGAAGTCACATGGTCCACAAATTGCAAGAATTCATTTTTGCAGCATTTGGCATACACTCCAGTAGCTTGGGTTGATTAAAACAAAATTTAATTTGCAATAATCAGCTGGTGACAAGGGAGCATGAAATTATGTTGGTGCATTGGTTTTGCACTTTGCAGTATATTTATTTCCTTGTAAATCAGGTATCTTTTAAATTTATCTTTAGTTACAGAACATATAGCACAGCAAACTTTCTATTAAAAATCACTCTGCAGAGAAAGAGAGACAGTTAAATGTTAACCAAGGAAGCATTGTCTTCCTCCTGGCATCTTGCCCAAGGATAACGCATAATTTACAAGGGTTTATTTCTTTGGATCAAGTGACATGCCATGAATTTCTGAAGATGAATGGTACCTCTTAGCAAAATCTCCTACAATACAAGATATATGGAAGTTTCTACCGGTGAATGCTGACAATTCCTTTGATTTGCCCTTTTAACTGACTGCCCTTGCTCATAATTTAGTTTCCAGGGGACTCAAAAAGAAAAGGATTTTTTTTCCCAAAGGACTAAAAATTGAGCTTCCATGCGATCCAGCAGTCCCACTCCTGGGAATATACCCGGAGGAAAACAAATTACTCTACCAAAAAGACACCTGCACACGTATGTTCATCGCAGCACTATTCTCAATAGCAAAAACATGGAACCAACCCAGATACCAATTGAAAGTAGACTGGATAAAGAAAATGTGGTACATATATACCATGGAATACTATGCAGCCATGAAGAACAAAATCATGTCATTTGCGACAACATGGATGCAGCTGAAGACCATCATTCTAAGTGAACTATCACAGGAACCAATAGCTGAATACTGCATGTTCTCACTCATAAGTGAACCCTGATTACCAGTCACATGAGCACAAGGGTGGGAATGACAGACATTGGCCACTGCTAGGGCAGGGAGGGAGGGAGGGAACAAGGAAGGAGGGGGAAACATGGCAACACACTGGGTACTAGGTCCACTATCAGGGGGAGAGAGGGCCCTGTAGAAGTCCAAACTTTACCTGCACGCAATTTACTTATATAGTCAATCCTCACATGTACCCCATAACTCTAAAATAAAATAAAATATCTTTTTTTAAATAAGGATTTTTAGTCCAACTAATAAACCTTTTTCTTGTTAGTCCTTCATAGTCTATTATTAGCTGGTAGTCATTTTTTAAATGTACATGTTATAACAGTACATATGAAAGACTCCCTGTATAATGGGGTGACATTTGTTAAAGGTTGGACTAACATCTTTGAAGGGGACAGAGTAATATAGAGAAATAAAGCCTGGCCCTGAAGAGAAGAGTCCGTCTCTGCATTGTCACTGATTCACTCTGAAATACTGGCAAGCTACCAAACCTCTGGGCCTCAGTTTTGTCATCTGTAACAAGATGGAGCCCACATTGCTAAGTTCCCTCCTACTTCTAGTATTGATGATTCTGTATGAGGGGCATCAAGGGGCTGAGCAGAGGCCGGCAGAACACGGAGGCAGAAGGCAATGATTGAATATCATTGGAGTTGCTGCCCTTGTGACCCACAGAACAAAAGCTGGGTGGTCCTCAGGGAATATCTCAGGGAAGATTACAAAAAATTGTGTGGTGCTTGTAGCAGATACATTCGTTAACAAAATAAATCTTTTTCGAAGGGTTGATAAGAGGAAGAGAGATAAATGAAATCATAAATACAAGGGCTGACTTTGAAAGGTATTTCTTTGGTAGATTCTTTTATGAAGCTGAGAAAATAATTGTAAAAGGACTAATTACTTCAAATTTATCTATTTCATAAGTTTGGAGCTATATAAATTGTGCTTTCTCAGAGTGAGTTATATTGCATTTTCCTATATCAGGGTAACAGCTCTAGGGTTACCTTTCATGAGGCTCTACAGTGAAAGCTCATTTTCTATCCTGGTTGCCTTATTTTGGGTTCTTGGTTTGCAAACACAATGAGGAACATTTTCAAAAGGCATATTTTCTACTACTATAATGTTCTTCTTAGAACTAGCATCTACTAGAGAGCAAAGAGCATACATACCTTAAATTAGCCCCAGGCTTTGCTAGAATTTTTTAATGACTACATACAAAATATAGGCCTCAAAGACTGAATTTTTGTATTAGTGGGGTGAAAATCTGTACTTTCACCAAACTGTAGTTACTTTTGGAATATCTAGGTTGTTTCTTTCCTCATATAATACAGAAACTGATTTAAAATTTTGTTTCAAGTGAGACTACTGTGTCCCACAAAAGCACCTCACCAACCAACCCCTAACTCCTCTTGAAGGCTTCAGGTACATACCTCCACATAGCACCTTTCTTCTCACAGTGAGGTTAACCTGCCCATTGCGGGCTGCATGGTGCATCAGGTCGATGACATAGCGGTGGGTCTTGCCAGCCACTGGAATCCCATCCACATAGACGAGCTCATCTCCTGGGTGTAGGCGGCCGTCTCTGTCGGCTGAGCCCATGGCAATGACGGCTCCAATCAAAATCTAGAGAAGCAATGAGAAGGAAAGGACTTTGGCATCTCAAATCTTCTTTTTCCTTTTTATATATAGTTATGTAACTTGTGGAAGATTTTATTCTCACGTTCTATCCCTTGTCTCTTGTGCATGCACTTGAAAAGTTAAAAAAAAAAAAAAGAGAGAGGTTGGAAGAATGCCTTTCCAACTCATTGAAGTTGCTTACTTCTAGAGAAATACATGCTTTGAACATGCTGCTGACTGCCATGAAGTTTGGGGGATACTTGCTTCCTGGCTCATAAATTATCACCCTTAAGAAAAATTCTAACCCCAAATAATCTGATGCTAAAACAAGGTGGAAATTGAATCTTGGCTCCAATTCATATTTGTGTGGCCTTTGGTAAGGCTTCTCAACCTCTGTGAACCTCAGTTTCTTCACTTGCAAAATGGAAAAAATAATACCTGAATCTACTTCATGGGCTTACTGAGAGGATCAAATGGGATAACTCATGCAAAACATTAAACTTCTTTCATGACACATGATCAAAAAGAGTCAAGGGGAAACTAGTGATTGCACATTATTCATCTCTGATAAAGAGTTACAGTTTTTTTTTTTTTTTTTAAGCTGTGGAGGAGGGGGCTAAAGGAGAAAACAAAGCAAAATGCACTGGCCTTTTCTGACCAGTTGACTTACTCAAAAAAGTCTTAGTAAAACCTTCTCTAGGTTTTTGCTCCTTGCTTTTTAAATTCTTCCTCAGAATACTGTCTTCTGCCCAAAGGACATTCCCAGTTCTGCTTGTCCCCTGAAATGCTTTTGCTGTCTAGGTGGATACTGTGCCAGGAAGTGAGGAGTTACACATCTGGGAGATGCAGTTATTGTTATAATTCCTTGAACCTGGGACTGTGATGAAAGGCAATACATAAGGTTTCCCATATCCCTTTAGAAACATTCAGGGTAGTGCCCATTAGCAAGGCATTTTTCTTTCTCAGAGGAAAGAAAATAGTATTAAATATCTTAGTATTGTTGTTTTAACTTATAAACAATTTTCCCAACTCCTGGACAACAGGTTTCCCCTTTCTTAAGCCAGTGGCTTAGTCACACAGCAGCTCTGGGCAGTGGTTACCATCAACATGATGATACTACAGAGATCTGACTAAATCCTCATACAGTGATCCCTTGCTCACAGATTGATTTCCTTCTGGCACAATAATTTCTTTCAGATCCCATATCTGTGAATTCTAGCTAATTTGCAGAGTTGTTCCATTGTGACTTGTAGGTTTGCATGTCTTCAGGCTTGGCAGCAGAAACTTCCTCTGCACTTAGTCACACTGCTCAGTGCGGCCTGCCAGTCTGATAATCAAAGCTGAATGCCCAGGACTTCTCAGGTACACGCAAAATTCACAACCTTGGTCATTGACTAGTTTTCTTTCCCCACAGGAATGAAAATTCCCCACTCTATTGCTGCTTTCTCCCCATTTCTGAGGGGATGGGGCGGAGCCTCCATGTGGAGTGTTAGTGTTCTGATGAGTGATTCACGATTGCTCTCACAGTACAGGTCTCACATCTCCTGCCTTAGATTGGTTGCACAGTGCAGTTCTTTCCCTGCAACCCAGCACGCATTTGCTATAGTCCAGCAGTTAGGCATGCTCTGACAGTCTCCATTTTCCCTGATTGTCATGCCAACCTGAATTTATGAGTTTCTTTATAAAGATGTTCCAATCTCTTCTTCAAAAGGCTCAACCCACTACAGAGCACTTCAAAGATTTGGTAAGTGCTTTGTGCAAAAGCCAGTTAAAATAAATGTTTCTCCACTGCCCCATGAAAAGCTGCATTTAGTTGATTTGGCCCAAAGAAAATGCTTCAGCCTTTAGATTTCCTGTACACTGTAGTGGGAGAGTTTATAGCTAGTTAGAGAGAGAGAGAGAGAAAGAGAGAGAGAGAAAAGGCTTCTTGGCTGGCTAATTATCAGTTTTAAGGTATAGCTTTGATTCTAAGTGATAAGTGAAACAAAAAATAGAGGTTACAACTGAGAGAGCCATAGCTGCAATAAACTGAGCACTCTACAACAATAGTAAAGATGAAATTTCACATTGGAAAATTCCTGTTCCTCTCTTGCTATAGAATAGCATGATATACAGCAAGATTTACAGATACTCTTGAAGTTATATTCTATGCTAGCAGTTATATATCACTTATTAAAAAAACTCAGTAAAACATCTGGTTTTCTGCCATATTGCTGAGATATGAGGTACTTTTCTCATTAATTCATTATTTCAACAAATATTCATTGAGTCCAGGATACTTTCAGGTGCTAGCAATCCATCAGTGAACAACAAACAAAAACTGAGTCCTATAGAGCTTCCATTCTCGTGGTCAGACAATCATAAATGTAATAAATGTATAAATTATACAGTATGCTGGAAGGCATGTACTATGGAAAAATAGAGCAGGGTGGGGGGGATGTCAGGCATATGGCCAAGGTGGTGACAGAGTTGGTTAGTAGGACGCCTATATATATTTATTTCTAAATAAACAGAATATTCAATTACTATTCAACTGAAAATCTAAACAAATAGCATATTCAGTATAACCCTTAAGTATAATTATGTAGTATGACATAATTATTACACGTATATGTATTATTATACAATTATATAATCTGTCTTTTACCTTGTTTCAAAAAAAGGTTTCCATAGCTGTTAAATAAACTTGAGTTGAGCTTGGCAGGCATTAGAGATGCTTGCCCATCAGCTCTGTTGTATAGTTACATTTGCCCCCTCTGTCAGGAGCTGCTACCTTTGCTGGGCAGAGGAGACCACTCCCATAGTCACTGCTTCCAGCTCTCATATTGCTGTTGCTCCTTAACCTTTGGCATTTTGTACCTTTGTGTATGTGTCTCTACTCAGGGAAAGCAAAACACAACCTTTTTTCTTTACTTTGTATACAATTTATACACTGGACATAATCTATTATTTCCTATTTGCCATTGTAACTATAGGAACTGGATAATCTATGATTCTTTCTTGCACTATATTATAACTCATGCTGGCTTTCCAGTGCACACATTCTCATGTTTGCTTAAGCTCTTGAGAACACACTTGAGGATATCTGACCCTTTAAGTTTATAGTTCTCCATCTTTTGCATGTGTAGCAATCACCTGATAAGCTTATTAAAACAATTCTGAACCCACCCTCTGAGAGCTCTGCAGGCCTGGGTAGGGCCTGAGATCCTACAGGGTCAACGAGCTCCCAGGAGTTGTTGGATACTACTGGTCCATAGATCAATCATACTTGTAGCAGCAAGGCCCTGATTGTTCCCATTTGGTCTAATAGCCACAGGATCTGTGGTCTCCCTGGTCATGTCCCAAGACTGCGAGCTACTGTCCTCTGGGTGCATGACCTGAGCTCCCTGATTCATCACGGTGGTCACTTTCTAGGTCTATTGAGGCCTCACCCTCAGCCCCCAGGTTCTTGTTTTGGGCTCCCTTACCTACCAGGCTACGTTTTCCTTCTGGTCTTGTGGACCTCTGGCCCGTGAGCCTTTCCAGAAACCACTGTCATTGCCCCATTCATTAATTCCCTTTAGCCCCAAGATTCTGTTTTCTCTTCTCTGTCCTCTTGGAGAAGCTTATTATCTGATCTCCATTGCTTTGGTCCTGAAGGAAAAACTTTGTGGCATAACATATCAGGAAAGACCCTCCCCATGAACAACTGACCCTTGGTGCTGTCTTTCCAATTGCTGTCTCTGAAAAACAAAAGAAATGAAACAACTCCAAAACTCCACTTTATCTCAGGCTGTGAGGGCACAGAGCAAAACAGAGCATTTGTGTGGAATAACAGCAATTCACATTCAAGTGGCTGAGATCCCAGTAATCCAGGGGGAAAAACTAACACCCAAAAGACAAAAACAAACAAAAAAGTAAGACACAAACAAAACCAAAACCACCTTTTCAGGGCTTTTGATCCCTTTAATTCTTTCCTGTACTGCCCTGTAGATCTGCTCTGCAATAACTGTAGCCTGGGAAAACTGCCCCTGTGACAAGCAGATTTCAGGCTCTTTCCTTGGGAAATTCTGCCACCAGTTTGTGGACTAGGTCCATCATTAGCTTTTTCTTTGAATGACTTTTCTCCACACAGGCCTTTCTTTACTGCAGTGTTTTCGAGATCTTTCCATCTTGATGCCTTTCCATCTCTTTTCAGTTCACAGCTGGAAATCCCCATTTTTGTTCCTTTCTGGCAATTTTTCATTTCTTTCTATTTCTATTGTTATTTAACTGTGAAAATGTATTTCCTCTTGCAGGAAAAATGCCCATATGCTTTGTCTGAGCTGGAGTCCTGCTGTTCATTATTTGCTGAAAGCCATGCTGTCGTGTTTAATGTGCACCCTGGGATGTCAATACCATTTCGTATATACGGAGGCAGAAACCTGTTTGATGCACTGATGAGACCTAATTTAGCTGGGGACCAACTCACCTCACACGCCTCTCCCTTTGTAGCACACCAGCAACTAAATGAGGCTAGCACATTTTGTTTGTAAGTTATCTCTGGATTTAGAATGTGAAAAGCAAGAAGGAAAGGCTGTGGGAGATCTTTGTGGTAGAGTTACTCTTCCCAACATGGTCATTCTGAGGTGCAATATTCTGATTTCCTAGACTCATTTTCTGGCTTTGTTTGCTTCAGGTAGATTTAGGCTTTCACTTTAAGGCTTAAATATCAAAATTGTAACTTACAGAATGAATATGTCTTGAATCATTCAAATGAAGGAAGAAACTAGAATAAATATAAATAAACACAATAGGATAACTAGCAATTCATGTAATCTGAGGAGGCTTATCATAAACACTTGATACCTGTCCACGGAAGGGAGATAGGTCTTAGGAATACAAAGCCAATATTCAGAAGTGTTGGGAACTTGTGTAGAAACCAAGCAGAAAGATGTCCCTAGGCTGGGTAGTAACCATGGCCTCAGGCACAACCCTGAGTTTCATTCTGAGCAATACATCTTCTATTTTGGCAAAAATTCTACTGCTTCTGTGCCAGGCAAAGTCTGCCCCTTCTTGAGCCAGCCGAGATCATGCCTTCACCATGATTCAGTCATGCAATCCCTCCCACTTCTGGAGGAGGAGAGCAGTTGAAGACAGTCTTTACTGAATGCTGGTTTATCCCCAACGCAGGCAAAGTGTGAGCCTTGGGGTCCAGCAAAGTAAAGAATTTCATATTTCAAAGACTATGTTATAGTAAGTATCATGGGAAGAATTAGAACTTTGTTGCTTTGTCTTACATTTATTTTATAGTTTAATCTTCTACTCATATTTATATATGGGAAAAGGGACCTGATAACATTTTCAATGCTTAGCCTCTAGAATATTCATCTTTCCATTTTTTTTTTTTTAATCCAGTCATCTGGGATGGGAGTTTCAAAGATAGGAGCCTAAATGAGTAACACAGATATAAGGTAGTTTGGGGAACTGTGGCAAGATTCAGTTTGTAAAGGACCACCACTAATCTCCAGCCATTTACTGTCATTGAGAAAGATGAGCTCAATGTTCCCAGATTTATTTTTCAAGAGAAGATGAAAATCAAAAATTTAAAAAATGTGAAATTTGTTGATGCTCAACAAATTGGGGAATAAACAAAGCATGTTGTAGGGCTGTCATGACACCATCTCTCCTTCTAGGACTAGGCTGCTTTAAATATACAGAGACTAGAATTTAGAGGCCTCAGAAAATGTAAACTAGAGATCATTCTCTGTTCTGAGAAGCTCAGGTGACAGATTTGGCTTGGTGAAAAGTACTCTTTTCAATTCCATTGAACAACTGTTTATTGTATCAGGCTAGGCTTGGAAGATACAAACACCATTAAACCAGTCTTTGCCTTCGAGGAGCTCACAGATTGGTATGGAGGAGTGGGGAGCATGCCAGTCAGTGTAGTCTGGAACAAACGGAAACTCTTTAAATAGTTAAGTTTGAGGTATTATGTCAGTATAACTATTACAGATTTACCCTTAAGTGCCCTGCAATTGTTTTAACTAGTGCCCAGTATCCTACAACATGCTATAAAAATTACCTTAAAGTTGTATTTTATTTTGAGTGTGGTTTTATTTTGTGCCACTCACTTGGGTCTTTTTAAGCATATGGCTTTGTTATAAAGAATTTGGTCTCAGCCCAAAGAGAAGTCTAGTCATTGCCCCTGTGCCCTTGAAACAGGATTATCTTTGCTGTTCATGGTGAGCCCCTTAGATCATACTGGATAATTCATGCTAAGGAGATGACTCAAGATGGAGCCAGACACACCAGTAATGTTAGGATGAGGACTGACAACATCAGAAAGACTAGTCATGCAATTAGAGGGTTTGACCTTTGAGCCATATGATATCAGCCTGACCTCTAGGGAGGGGGTAATGACTCAATGAATCATGTACATGTAATGAAACCGCAATAAAAACACTGGACATTAAAACTTGGGTGAGCATCCCTGGTTAGCAATACTCTATGTGTCTATGTTGGAGGCTAACATGTCTCTAGGGATGATGGAAGCTTCATATTTGGAAAATTTCCAGAATTTGTCCTATGCATCTCTTCTTTTGGCTGGTTCTAATTTGTCTCCTTTCATTATAATATGACTTTAATTTTAGGTATAGCACTTTCCTGAGTTCTCCAGTGAATTATTGAACCTAAGGCAGGCAGTAGATGCAGAATAGTTATCTGGCCTTAGGCTGACCCAGTTTTTCCTCCTTTCTCTCTTGTAGTTCTCAAGAATAACTGTAGACTGTGCTAGGAATGCAAATTTTACGATAAGGAAGGCCTGACTGGCTGGAATAGTCTGGGTTCTGTGCCAGTTCTCCCTAAAAATAGGATGTCCTTCAAAGCTTTAGTCCAGTGAATCATGTTTCTCCAGGGAGTAAAACCAACAGTGGGATGTTTTTGGGGATCCATCAGCTGTGGTGAAAGTGGGGCATATGCAGTTGAGACTTCATCTGTCTTGGGCACCTTTCCTGAGTCTTGGGGACTGACTCACTATGAATCTAGGCTCCTGTTGCCCCTTGCTGCCTATCTGTAAGTAATAAAGTCACTTCATGTAATTTGGTATGTGTGTGGGTGTTCTGTCTCACCAGACTCGGGCAAGTTGGTAACCAGTGCACAGAGAACCTACTACACAGTGGGGATGCTCAAATGTATAGCTGATGTTTAAAGTGGGGCAGTCTGAGGAGACTGTTCCTTTAGACTTTGCAGGAGTCTTGGATACACATGGCAGCCTGGAGGACCTTGAGTTTGGCTCACTCTGAATAACAGCACATTTTAAGTTTATGGGGCACTAACATTGAATAAAAAGGGTCAGGCAAAGTCCTTGTTTAGGAGAAATTTAAAATCCTGCTGACTAAATAAAAAAGGTAGATAAATGAACATGTCAGGAAACAATCTTGAATGAGGCTAACTCAGATGAATATCCTGTGGAGGCCAGGAGGTTCTGGAGTATAAATCAAGGAGATAAACGCTTACATACATGAAAGGACTTGGTAATGTCTTCAGTTCTGTAAATATAAAACAAGAGCTTTAGAGAGGAGTGAGGCTGTAGGGGTGACTAGGTGACATAGGATTCCTGGTAAACTCAGACTCAGGTGATGGAGGGAGAGGGAGCAAAGCAGGGAATGGGAGCAACGTGAACAAAGGCTTGCTTCTTCTATCTGTGATAAATTTAGTTTCTGAATACATTTAAGCCTGAAGTTCCTTGAGCCCTGTATTTTACCTCAGTTTTCTCTCTCCTCTCAAAGCACTAAGGGAAATCTGGCCAACCCTCCTCGGCAAATATACTTTCACATCTTCTTTGGCAGCTGGAAAATTAGTGGCATTCGGGTTGACGGCTGCCAAATTTTATCCCTAGGAATTCGGAAACAAGTCTTTTTTTCCTGGAGTGCCCTCATCACTAGAGTCCAAGCTCAGCTTTCTGGAGTTCTCTGTAGAAAGGGACCTCATCAATCATCTAGTCCAACTCCTCTTGCAGGGCAGAGGAAGCTCCTCTGGGTTCCTGCCAGGTTCACGTTGACTTTGTCTGAATACCTCTTGTGTGAGGGAGCCCACTCCCTACCAGGACAATCTACTCCACTTTGGGACAGTTTTAACTGTGACAGATTCCTTTCACTTACTAGATTAACTTTTTCACCTGAAGATTTCTGCCCATGTTTTATTTTTAATTTTATTTCCTGGAACAATCTAGTAACAAGAGAGACAAAGTTGATAATGACAAGCATTTATTCAGCACTTAATATGATCCAGGCACAATACCAAGACCTTTACTTATGTTAACTTCCTTAATCCTCAAAGTGACTTCATGTGAGAGTACTGTTGTTATCCTCATTTTGTAGATGAGAAAGCTGAGGCTTAGGCATGAGCTAGGATGGGGTGCAGACAATTGACTGCACAGCTCATGCTCTTCATTTATGCAAAACTTTCATGGACCTGTCTTAGTCACAGTGGGCACCATTTAAGACACATCTGTTACAATGAGTGTTTTATAGCTGATGTTTTAACACATGCTCATAGATCTAGGCTTACTGAGTTTTCTGTATATTAATGACTGTTGATATTTTTTGTTTTCACTTTCAATACATATATACATGTATATATGTCTGCATATATATAAAGATTTCATCAGAACCCTCCCCAAATTTCCAATATTGTGCCAATCAAAGCTGACTTTGTGGACATCTTCTCATGGTAATCCTTTAATTAAAATCTTGCTGAGATTCTGTAGCACTGAGCTTGATTTTACCTCTGTTTATCCCTCTGTTTTCTCTTCCTTGTTGTTTTGGTTGAAAACATACATAAATATGCTGTTCCAAGTCACCTCTTCACATGTGTCTTCTGTTGTTTTACCCATGAGATACCACCAAAGAGACCAGGGGTCCGTTCAGTTAAAATAACTGAAATACTCAAGAGGAATCCAATCCATTTAGAAAAGAACAATGACCCTTTCTTAGTGTGATTTATGATGAGGTACTGGCCATGGAGACACCTTTACGTTGTCAGATCTTTTTAAAGAGAACAGCAAGAAAAAAGACAAAGCTTGAATTTTTTATGAGAGTTCTTAGGGTACTTCCTTTTAGATGTCATATTGAATAATGTTTTTCTAGGTGCTAATACATGCAGTATAGCCCATAGTGTGGAAATAAAGGGGGTTCAACTTACAGGCTGTCCAGGCTCATCTCCCCCAAGGATTCTGAAGCCAAATCCAGACTCCATCCTCCGAAGGTGAACGTCCAGTTCCTTATAATCTGGACCTGGCATAAAGGAGATCCCATTGAGTAACGAATTCTGCCTCCTTCCCATCCCCTGAGAAACTGAATACACCAATGATAAATTAATTTTGTGGATGTAATTAATGAGAGTGCTGTTAGAGTCCATGGAAAGCATAAAGGATTTTTAAAAAATATGGTAACAAACAAGTAGGTACTCCAGATTAGGTAGTCTCTGGAATAATAGTGACCTGCCATGGGCACTATGAGGGAATCACCACAAGAAGAAAGAGCATATTAATTTTCTGAGGGAAAAGAACTTGATTTCTCCACAATTTTTTATTTTCCTGAGAGCATTCAAATTGCCCTCAAGAAGCCTGGCTGTCACTTTGAGGATGTTTATTCTGATTAGACTGATTATTAAAGAAGTAAGAGAGAACAGATGGTAAAACCCTGGAGTGGTAAAGTACTACCTAGTAATTTACTAATATCTGTTTATGACTTGATGCATCTAGTTCAGGTGTGTGTGTGTGTGTGTGTGTGTGTGTGTGTGTGTGTGTGTGTGTGTGACATATGCCTAAAAGAAGTTGTCTCTTTTAAATTTGGAAAGATTAGAAAATATAGAATTTACACTTTTCTCTATTGAGGCTTAAGTGATTATTTTCTGACAAGCTTCTTTAGGTTTCTCATAACTTATAGGTCGACATGAACTATTATCCCCCAATATTTTAGAATATAGAAGCCACTGATTGGCTTCTGACTTCACTAGTTACTCAGAGTAAATTAGAATACTTTTCTGAAGTCAGCCGAAGGAAGAGATGTGTATTTAAAAAATAAGTTGGGAAACTCTCCTGAATGTCATTATTTTTCAGCTGTAGAATAAACTAAAACCATGCAAAATGTTTTGACTTTTTAAGGAGAACATGAGCTATGCTTACCACCTCCCACTGGCCCTTTGCACTTTCCTCAGGGGGAAATACTTCAATCATGACTGAGTTGTGGGTTCTTTCATACCCACTGTTAGGATGTCAGTGAATGAACAGCAATTCTGGGAAATATTTATTATGCCATCTGTTGCTTAAGAAATGTTTAGTGATTTTTTGAGCCTTAAGATTTAAAGGAGGCGTTAGAACTGATGGAAGCAACTATTAAGTAAAATTTCTCTTGCTTAAACAGGATAGTTATGGAATTAAGATGAGATTTCAGTGAATTCTCATGGGACAAAAACCCATGTCTAAGCCACTTGGATATACAGTAGCAATTGTAGTAGAGAGACACTCATTGAATGATGGCCAGGCAAATCTCTGCAGTAGGTGTGGCTGCTGGAGTGATACTGTGTATAAAGGACAATGATAATAGGCTTGCTTTGGTGCCCCCAAACCTGGGCTATTCTCAGGGCTATGCGAAGGCAAGTCATTCATTTCTGATATGTGGGGAAATGCTGAATATAGGTGCGCTCTTAAAAAAACTGAGTCAAGCACATAAGTGCATACATATGTAAGCATTGTGCACAACCCAATGACTATTCACATCCTTTTATAACCAAATGCACTTATGATTAAGGCCTTTTCCATTTGACAAATACTATAAAACTCTTGAAGAAGAGTAATCAATTAGACCTCTACATCCCTTATAACTTATATAATCATTCATATTTTAAAGGTGGAAGAACATAGACACATTAAGTTCTTATTAAATAGAGTTGGGTGGTAGAGGGAAGATGAAAACTTTGCCCTACACTCTATAAGACACAACTGGTGTTTGAATTTAGTTCATTATAGAATCTACAATATCATATATGAAATCACATATTGGGTTATGTAACCCTTCGGGAAGGCAGGAAGAACAGCCCTGCAAAAATCATAGCAGGTACCTAGGCAAGGGAGATGGGAGACTCCCACAATACTCAATTGCTATTCAAATTTTACAAGTTGATTATGCCTCAACTGCTCATGGGCAGTCTCTTCTCTAGGTCACTTTAAACTTGGAGGACTCTAGACCATATAGACATGAAAAGTTCAAATAGAAGGTGATATATTTTCTATACTTAAAGTGACACAGTCAGCATATGTTTAACTGGGACTTTTCATCCCCTATATTTTCCTTGTTTTTGTACTGCTCTTGAGTATGGTAAGTGGGAAATTGTTCCATTCATATTGCATGAGTAACTCTAGGAGAAGTTTACTATGTGATCCATCTTATTTGCTAAGTAGAACTTTTCTCCTGGGAAAATGCTGAAATTATGACAATCCCAGATATCCAGCTTTTTAGGAGAAAAATCTAGATTTTTGGCAAGTTATTTTTATTTAACTCTGAAGAACATAGATGTGAATAAGACATTTATCCTCCTTCTCTCTACTCTTTATGGGCATTTTAATGACAATCATGATCCTGTTGCTCTAATCCACCCTGACTTCATGATCATAGTATTTCCCCTGCCAAGTAAGCATCCCCCAACCTGATTTTAAATGTAGGGTATTGTGTGTCAGCCACTTTGTCTCCATGCTTCCAGGCAGAGACAGACAGCTTCACGGTACATGAGCAAGTAGAGTGAGGCAAATAGAGTCTCCTTAGAGAAGTATGTCAGCAGATGTGATGTATTTTTTATTTCTTTGTTAATTTTGAACACAGATTCAGAGGCTGCAGGGCACAGAAACTTTAGAGAAATAGTCAACTGGAAAAAAGTTAAAATGATAGATTGTGCCTTGAGGCAGTAGTATTTTTGTTGTTGAGAAAATAAGAACTTTTTAGAAAGATAATTTTTCTTTGGCTCCCCCCCCATTTTAAGTCTGGCTTTGCAAAATAACTAAAATTATATGCACAAAGCTGGGAGACATTATTATTTTTCCTTTCTGCTTTGTTATTCTCTTAGAAGATTATGATGTTTCTCATATTTTCCCCTAGCTGCTCTTCTGGCCTGACAACAACATGTTTCAAATATTGTTTCATGTTTTATCTCTACCCTTATTAATGCAAGGACTTAAAGCAGGAAAAATCCAATGGTCAACTCTTGACATCATTGAGACAGAGTCAATAGTCACCACTCCTCTCACTTGTTCTTACATAAACTATGCACCTGGGAGATTGTTAGATGAAGGTGTCTGGTAGATATCCAGCCCTGAATTGTTTTGCATGTCGCTCAACCATTCCCCACTGAAATTCTTTTTCTTTTCTGTTTTCTTGTTTATTTTTTCTGTGTTCTTTAAAAAATATCCATCTTATTCCTATGCCCTTTCTGCAGAACGGTCAGGGACACTGTCAGGTGCTGCATCTCAAGAAGAGGCAGTGGTTGTGAAAACATAGACTCAGGGGAGACAAACCATTCTTTGGTCATTGGTGTTCAATGGCCAGCCATGGCCAGTGTGGCCTCTTTTATAGAAACTGGGTCCTGGGATCCTCAGCCATTATGAAATAAAGTATCTCATGATACTGTTCCCAGATGGGATTTTACATGACCACTGTAGCAAGTTACTGAAATGGAATTTACAAATCCCAGTTTATCCTGGGCTCACACCAATATTGCAAAAGCTAACTTTAAAAAGTAGTAAATGGTGACCACATCCAGGTATCAGAACAAACCAAATTCCCTCATAATAAGAAAAGCAGAGTTTCAAAAGTCAATTCCTCTTCCACACTAAGACTTAGGAGATTCATGTGCTACATATATCCTTGGTTTGGCTTTTGAAAGGCAAGACTTTGTGCACAATATTAGGGAAAAGGTTGGGTAACTGAACATAACTGGTTAATTAAATGAATGGATTTGATCTTTAAAACATAAAGAATAACATTTTTATGAATTAATTTGGTATATGGGATGCGGCTGTAAACATATCAATTACATTTTGGTACTTGAATCCCCTTTTGTGTTTTAATTAAAACGTAAGTACCATGGCTTATCATCATAGTTTGGCACAGAGAATGCATTTATTCATTTTTTTCCTGCTGGAAACAGCATTATCTTTTTGGCTTTTCCTTGTACAGAGATTTAGGAAAGACAAAGTGAGGAAGGTATCAAAAATCAAAGATATTATTAAACATATTCTTGGCTTCTGGATTTCCATGTACTCCAGAGACAGAATGAGTTACACAGAAATTAAATAGTTTCTGTTGCTGAATCTAACATTACCTGATAAGTAGCTAACACTTTTTGCCTTAAACGAATCCCTTCTCTTTACCATTCTCCTCTGTCCCTTTGGTAATGTGAATGTAGTCAGAGATATTTTAGCCATAGTGAAAACCATTTCCCACTTTCTATTTGGTTTCCTTTCTCAGCCTTCAAATAAGCTCAGATTTTCCTATCCTAAATATCATCTTCCTCCCTGCTTCCATTTCTTCCTTGGAAAAGTAGTCTCCAGTAGTGCCTTCACTCCATCTCTGATCCATTCCTGCCAGTCTTTTTTATGCTCTCTCGGCATTACTAAACTCTTCAAGGTCCTTGATGACATTCTAATGATTGAATTAAACAGTCATTTTTCTCTTTCCTTGTAATGATTGACTTCAAAGCCTCATTTGATACTGTTGATGCCCCCTTTATGACCTCTGATTTCTTTTGATCCTAAACAGGGAAAGGTCTCCTTTGGAAGTGGTTTATGTGATACAGCATTCCGGAGTTGCCCATTCAAAGGTTCCAGCCATAGATTCTATTGCTTTTCACTAATATTCTCCTTAGGTGATGACATAATTATCTCTGGCTATCTGGCGCTCCATTGTGCACAGCTTGTAGGAGTTGCTAAATAAACGTTTCTTGAATTTAGTTGCCTTAAGGTACTTGCCAATTTACTAGGCCCAAAGAATCACAGCATTATTACACTATGGGGTTATCACTTAGTTTCATAAATATATTATTTAGAACTTCCTAGTATCAATTTTGCCTCTGTACCTAAGGATCTTATGCAGATAAAGATGATAATATAACACAATTATAATGAGTATATTTGAGTCAAAGATCATGACACAAAATTTGATAAAGGGTATTTTATAAGTATGAGAAATAATATGGGAGATCTATTTATTTTGAATGCCATCATAATTTTCCAAAGTATTTTGATAACTTGTGTGGACATTTAATAAAGTATTTGAATTGGTTCTTTTCTTGAAAATCTGGAGGGTACCTGATCTCAAACCAGGCAAAGTGGGGACCAAATGGAGGTCTAAACTTTACCTGTACAATGTCCACTTGTAAACCTAATTCTGAATTGTACCCCACATCTTAAAAACTATATATACATATAGTTTTTATAACTAAAAACTATATATACATATAGTTTTTATAACTAAAAACTATATATATATGCCAAAACTTAAAAACTATATATATATATGCCAAAAAAAAGAAAATCTGTATTGTATAGTAGTATAATAAACTCAACTATAACTTTTGTCTTTTAAGTGAAGTATTTTAAAGAAATGTTAACTATCACTTCTCATATATATCAAGGTAATTTAAGCTACTGGATGGATTTTCTTTTTTTCTTTTTTTTCTTTTTTAAAAAAAAGCATTCAGAACCTGAGATTTTCAAGAAATGTGCTTTTTGTCATCAGTAAGTTGAGATTAAGAATTTCAAAAGAAAACCTGCTTTAATTTATCAACTATAATTACTAGACCCAAGTTTCTCTCCGGGTATAAGATAATTTCTTTTTAAAAAATTGCAAGAATCTTACAGTTAGTATTTATGAATAATAATGCTTTAAAAATTTCAGAACAAGCTAAACACATACTTTAGACATTATTTGAGGACAAAATACTAAGCAATATCTTCCATATTTTCTATAAGAAAATGACATGGAAACTTACAGAATGAAGTGATCTCAAGCACATATATTCTCCAAGGGATGTTAGAACATGCTGAGATGGATAATGAGCTGTCATCATGGAAACACTCTAGAGATGTGTGCTGTGAGCCTTCAGCCCTGAAATAGTGCTATGATTATGAAACACTCTTTTCTGCATTTGTTTCAGTGTTCTGACTTTTAATCCAGTGGGCTAATCAGTGGTTCAAAGCATTTCCATTACTAATTCTAAGAGTACAAAAATTTAAATCTTTTTCCTTCTTCATTTCTACAATAATGTTAAGTATTTTAGCCTAAACCAAAATTGGTGTTTTCAGAATGGTAAAGTCAAAAAATTTTTCATTTAAAGTAAATTAATTGGTTAAAAACTCTTAAAATTAAAACTGTGATATTCTATCCTAGCTTAAAGTCCTTTAGAAATACAGCATTTTGTAACTGGCAGTGTTAAAAAAATTAAGCTGATATATACTTGATTTGAAGATAATTGAGTTCTATATTAGCAAAATGTCTAATAAGTTTTGGAAATATCTAAATTGCACATCTCTAGCTTGAGATCCTCTAGCTTTTTATTTCTATCTAGTCTGGCGCTGTTCAAAATACATAAAAGGTAAACTATACAAGTAACTCACAATTTTCTAGTAGTCACATTTTAGAAAGCAAAACAAAACGGATGAATTATTTTATAATGTATTTTAATGTACCTAAAATTTTATTTCAACACAAATCAATATAAAGATAATTAATGAAATATTATTCATATCTTTCTGTTGTGGGTTTGGGTACTAAGTCTTTGAAATGTAGTATGGATTTTACACATATCTTAAAACACATGTAGATTTAGATTAACCCCATTTCAGGTGCCCAATAATCACACTAAGCCGGGCTCGGTGGCTCAGCCTGTAATCCCGCGCCTTTGGGAGGCTGAGGTGAGTGCATTGCCTGAGCCCGCGGGTTCGAGACCCGCCTGGGCAGCGAGACCTCATCTCTACAATAATAATAATAAAAAAATCAGCCGGGCGTGGTAGCGCATGCCTGTAATTCCGGCTACTCGGAAGGCCGAGGCGGAAGGATCGCCGGAGCCCAGCAGGTCGAGGCTGCCGTGGCCGGGAGCGGCCACTGCACTCCAGTCTGGGCGAAATAGTGAGACTCCAACTCCAAAAAAAAAAAAAAAAATAAAATAATAATAATAATCACACTAGCTAGTGGCTACTGTATAGGACAGCACAGATCTAGACAGGTTGATGACTTTCTTTGGTATCTGATTTCTAATGCAGTCTTTTACTAAAGAATTTTGGGAAATAGATTCACGAATAGACTATTTTCCTTTGCCTTTTGTTGGCAAGTATTTAGGCTCACCAGGATGAGACTTGCTCTCTACCTTGAATACATGCTTATGTGGGTGAATAAAATAGCACAATGATTTTACACTAAAAAACAGATACTACGCAGAAGAATGATTTGCTACACAAGATGGAGGATGTTGTGTTCACAGAACTGTGAGTACTGAAGAATACTTGCCAGAGGAATCCATTCGAAAACTGGTCCTGGGTGGCACTTGTTCTGGATGGAAAAATGGGGAATTAAAGTTGAAATTCATTTATGGCATTTAAAAATTCATTGTTACTTTCTTTTTGTTACTATAACTCCTCCACCCCAATCTTGTGCTCGTGTATAATGTTTTTTTTTTTTTTTTTTTCGCTAAGAGCCATAGAAGTTATTGGACAGATTTATCCTGCTGTATGTATGAGCATGTATACAAATGTATCTCTTTTGCACACACCCCAATAGAAAAATCCCATTTTTTTTTAGATCAGGATGGAAAAAAAGATGACCATATCTAAGTATTATTAAGATTTTATTCTCATTAAAAGAATACTTATTTGAAAGTAAAGTCAATTCAGAACCTGAAATATATATATTAAATATAGGTCTTTTAAAATTATGTTATATATACTCTGTCACTAAAAGTATTGAAATGAAAAGTCAAAAATTCAATCAATGATTGTACTATACCTCATAAAAATTCACAGACATGAGTATAAAACATCTTTAAAATGCAGTAATAGCTCACATTTAGAATTCTAGAATCTTGAACAACTTAGTTACATACTGTATCCTGGAAGTATCTGGAGACATATTACTCTCATGGATCAAATATTTTCGGGGGCAGGTCAGGGACCAATTGGCATGCTTCCACAACATAGATATATTTGATAAATGCACACTTTTACCATGTCTTTATCTGGAACTGCTGAACATGTAGAAGGTGACATAATTATATTGTCCCTTGATGTTAATCCTGCCTTTTAAATCCCTGTCTTAGCATCATAGAAGAATTAACAGAACAATAAAGCTGCCAGCCACCTTGAAGAGCTTCCATCCAAGGCCCTTCCTTTCACACATAGCAAGTCCCCAAATCCTAAGTGACTTGTACAAGTTACTCTAGACTATCTCAGAAAATTCTTCAAGATCATCCTTTTTAGAAAACTTATTATACTTAAGTGTCTGTTTGGTTTTTTAACTTAGTTAGAATTCACTATCCAATAAAGCTCTTTTTTTGTTTCATTTTAGTATTATTATGAAAAAATACTATACTTTTTCTGATTATGCTATAATTTTTTTCCTAACATTTTCAGATACCTTTCCTATTCCTTCACAGTTCTGTCATAGACAAGTTCCTAAATCACACAACTGAGTTTAATATGAACTGGGAAAAAGACACATGTACACAGACCTCTGGTCAAGAAATACTTAAAAAAAATACAGATCTGTATTAAGATAAGCTAAGATACTTCTGTCTGAGCAAATGAAAGAATATTGTTATCACATTGCTTTGCTTTTGAATCACGTGAAGAATTCTAATAGAAATTATCTAAAAGTTACTAAACCTCTCAAAAGCTTAAATCTACATTGTAAGATAAAAAAATTGTAAAAATTTTCTTTCAAGAACCACTCCTCCCATACTTTTAGACTTCAATATGTAAATTATTTGTCACTTGGAAAACATTTCAGATTATAATTATTGTGCTGGTCAATAATTATATGTATTTATGATATATAATCATCAATCATATAAGTGACTATTCCTTATTAAGAGCATGTATAGAGGAGGCAACTTGAAATACTTAGTTTTAAAAAGTAGAGAGTGAGAATACAGTATAATAGAGATCCCCCATTTTGAATGTGTTAAGATGACACAGTTTTATCATATAGTTGTGCCATATGAAGCATCATGAAAATATGAGTATTTTATCATTAAATTTTAAAAATTAAAATAAGACCAAATTTTGATTGCTTTCTTATTGAACTTCATTTATTTCAAATAAAGAACCAGTCTGCTTGTCAAGGACAGAATGATCATTCTCTTCAGATAAACTGTGTTTTCACAGTAAAGACAAATTCATTTTCTAGCAGAATTGTTATTTTTTAAGAACCTCAATTCAAATCCTAAGTGTAACTGCTTAGGATTTGAATTGAGAAATATCCTTTCATAAAAAAAGAAAAGTAGACTTGTATCAGGGATGGAAAACTGCTACCTTCTAGACACTTCTATTAGGTATGAAACTGACATTTTATGTTATAATCTAACTAGGACCTACTTGCCATCCAGCAACTGAACTAAGTTTACCGAAGCCTTGATAGTCTCATATTTATTCATGAAAGTACTTTGGATTACATTGTCAACTAGTACTACTAACAAAAGGTTTTCATATATTAAGTAACTTTCAATCAAGGACTGATTTTAGAGTCTGTTTTTCACCCTTCTCTTCTATCCTCTGTCTAATTCTAGTATCTTTAAATTATAAACCACCGAACGAAGTAAATTTGTAAGCTATAAGACTGGATTTAATTTCTGAAATGCATGGAAAAACTATGTGCTTTACCACAACTTTTATTTTACTATCTGTATTACTTAGCTCATATCATGGTAACTTTCTATTTCAAAATGAATCTGTTAGAAATATAAATGTTAACCGTAACTTTTTAGAAAGCTCCCCAAAGATATCATTTTTAAAATTAGATTTCCAAATTAATTAAAATCTACATATCAAAAATGGCAAATACAACTTAACTAGAGTTACTGATCTCCATATCAATGTATCATAACTGTAAAGTGACATATAATGTGATATATTAGAAATTCCTGCTGAAAGACAAAGTTTTTTCACCGATCAAATCATACCATAAACCATACTAAGGTTAACAATAATGCTTTTTCTGTGGGAAAAGGTACAGAAAGTTAATCTTCATTGCACAGTTGAGGACATTTAAAGTAATAATGTTATTATATTTTTTCCCATCCTTTTATGATTCTAATGCTAAAGTCACTGGTAAAAATGTCTTCACAATTGCCTATCATCTTATTTTAATATTTCACTAAAATAAGATTGTGCTCCAGAGAACACATGTGGGGGGTATTTTAATTAAGGCCATTGGACATCAGCAGTATTCAAGCTAATCAGGCCGGGGCTTGATCTAGCTTGGTATTCAGATGTGATGGTGTTCTCTGGGAAGGCATGGTGGTCTTTTGTGATCATTTAATAGCTGCCGGTAATAATGGCATCTGTGAATTTACTGAAATCTTTCTTAAGCCTTTTGATACTTTCAGTTTGACTGTATCAGCTACTTAACTACATGGGGAAAGGACACTTGAACCAGGAAGGTTCAAGTCGAAGGATATGCACCGGCTTTGGCGCTCTGGTTCTGAGCACCATGGATGGATGTGGTTTTTACCAATGTTTTTCTTTTAGAGTCTCAAGGTGTGTGCTGCAGTGGAGAATACTATTTTATTACTACTTCATCCTTTCAAATGGTTCTGCTGTTAGGATGGGAGACAGTGTAAACTACAACCCTTGCTCACCAATAACAGGGAAAAAGCAGCAGAAAACCCAATAATTCAGAAATACAGCCACCTGTTTGTGATCAGCCATGAATTATATGTGCATTACAATACTGAACAATGAAAGAATTCAATAATGAATAATGAGCAACAAAAGAGCAGGACAAAAGCCATAGATGTGAAAAACACAACTGTTCATTTTTTGATATGTCGCAAGTTATAATTTCATTTCATGTGTAGTACTAAAGAACAGTTTGCTTCTCCATTATGCTCTTTAACTGGCCTGTGGTTACATTTGATTGCTATCTTTCCTGTGATACTCATTGCTTATTATGAGTCAGTGCTTTCTAATTTCTGGACAGAACAATTGATTGTGTGAGTTCTTTTTGAAGAAACTTCAGTGGAATCTCGAATTTTTAGAGGTTCTATCATAAGGCACATTGCACCATATGGATCCTTGACACTTTTATGATTCTAAATTTGAGTGATATCTTACTGCAAAGGAGCGTGGATGTGTTGTACCTTATAAATTGTTTATTTTTAATAACCAAAGTTCAAAGAGAAGAGAAAAAATTTAGACTTCAGTTATAATTCAACCTAGATTCAAACCAAAGTTCAGAACCATGAGGGAAGAGTTTCAGGAAATGAGGACTTTTCCGTGTCTTCCTGTTTGCTTCTGCTCATTTGTTTCAGTTTCCAAGTGTGGAGATACCCAAGAAATGCCCCTCTCACCCTCCATGAGCAAAGAATGATAAGACAAACCTTTAGAATAAGTCTGGCTTCATTGCGAACTTTACATTATTGCATGCTATAATTTGTAATTCCTATAAATCTTCTTGAATTTTGTTCTGGGGTGCAGTTGAGTGACTTATAAACAGTTTGGCATGCATGTTTATTGCAGCACTATTCACAATAGCAAAAACATGGAACCAATCGTGCTGCTCATCGAAAGAGGACTGGATAAAAAAAATGTGGTACATATACATGATGGAATATTACACAACCATAAAAAATTATGAACTTTGCTGGAACTTGGATGAATTCAGAGTCTACAATACTAAGTGATCTATCACAGAAACAAATAACTGAGTACCATATATTCTCACTCATAAGCGGACCCTGAACAATTATCATAAGAAAGGAACTGCCAGTAGTGGGAAACTGCCAGGGGAAGGAGGGGGAAACACTTCATCAGTAAGGGTACCTGATCTCAAATCAGGTAAAATGGGGACCAAAGTGAGGCCCAAACTTTACCTGTGCAATGACCATTTGTATACCTAACCCTGATTTGTACCACACATCTTAAAAAAAAAAAAAAGAAAAAGAAAAAGTCTGGCTTAAAGAAAAATTGAAGCAACAGGACAAGGTCCTCCTTCCCAAATCTACAAACTTTTATTAGAATGATCAAAACTTCTTAAAATTCCAAAGTGAGCCAAAGTGCTTTTCTTTGGGAAGCACTTTATACTGCTTTGCCTGGCAATAAATAGAGCTGTTCTGATAGGCATCTAGTAGTTTCTAGGTATAATCTTTCCTACAGGCAGGAGACAGATGAGATTAACTCCCTTTCAGTTCTGTGATTATTGCGATATTGCACCTGACTTACTCTCTGTGATAAGCATGAGGACTCCATGGCGTAGTACTTAAATGCATGAAGCTTTACTACTGATTTTTTCTACTTAGTTGCCACGCACTAGATTTTACGTATGTACAAATTTTCTGG